GCTGACACCTCTTTCTGCAGCTCCGAGCAGGGTAAAGTAATCCACAAAAAATAGAAAAAATTAGGGCAGCGCAAACAATTGCAAATGTGCACAACAAGTGCTACAAAAAGATTTATTAACAAGGACATAAGATACAGACATTTCGGGTTATCCCCTTTATCAATGCAGGTCCTTACAAAAACAAAGTGCACTCGCCATTAAAAACATGACCCAAACAGACAGGACAGACCATAATTCCCAACACCTCCCTTGCATAATTAAGTAAAGCAGCCCCTCCCGACAACCCGCCGCCATCTTGGATACATAACGTTCTGTCCAGTTGCTAAGAGATAAACAAAAATAAACCTAGTAGCAAACAGACTGAGTACGCTAGGTACAGAGGCCTCTAAGGGCCAACAAACATATACCACAAAGCTGAAATAGCTTCATGGAAGAAATAACTCTGTATTTAAGAACACAGCTGTAATCAGAGAGCTAATAAATCTAAATAAAGCACATAAAAAACAACAAAGAATACAATGGAAACATGATTTCCAAATAAATATAAAGAACCAAAATGGTCTAAACTGCAGTGCGGGTAATTATAAGGGGCTTTATGTAACCAGACACATCATAGAAGAAAACCCAGATGAAAGCTTCTATTCCACAAGCCTAACACCTACATCAAACCAAGTGTGAGAGTGTAAATATAAATACAAAATATATACAAAAATCTACAAGGTCCCTCAAACCCCTGCAAAGAGGAGGGAATAAGAAGGAAGACCCAGAGGTCCCATCCATAAGGAGAGGAATATCTGGCTGGAATAAAGAGAAGGTTTAATCCAAAACCAATATCTATAAGTACATAGAAAACAGTCATACCAAGACACTGGGATGCATAAAGATATAATTCAAAAAGATATAATTAAAAAAAGACTCACCTTCCAGTGGGTATCATATTGAGAATCTAGAGGAACCAGTGCCACTCAAGCTTCTCATTAAGACCATGAGGTGACACTGTGTCCAGTAGATGCATCCAGCGAACTTCCTTCTGCAACAATCTCCTTTCTCTATCACCACCCCTAGGGGATAGTTCAACCCTCTCAAGAATCTGGTACCAGAGCTGTGATACATTGTGTCTCATCTCCCGAGAGTCAAGTGACATGCGACCGGAGCGTCTGCATTTGAATTACGAATGGAGGTTTTGTGTTGAGAGACACGATCTTTAAAAGCACGAATGGCTTTACCCACGTTGCCCAAGCAGCACGGACACTTCAGGAGATAGACCACAAAGTCAGATTGACAAGTAAAGAAACCTTTCAGTTTAATCTGCTGTCCTGTCCGGGGATGAGTCCAGAATTCACCCTTTATGATTCCACTGCAGTGATTACAGCAGAGACAGGGGTAAGTACCAAAGACCGGTTTAGATAAGAGCCGTTGTTTGTTTGGGGTTAAGCTATCAGCCTTTACCACCAAGTTTCTTATGGTACAGCCTCTCTTGTAGGCAATCAGTGGTGGTTCTTTAAATAGATGCCCTACCTGTCTTTCCAATTGTAGAATGTGTCAGTTTTTTTTTGAGGAGAAAAAGTAGAATGGGTACTTACGAAAGCTATTGTCAGTTTTGCGCCTGTTTGTAATGGAAAGTAAATCCTTTCGTTTCATAGAGAGTGCTTTGTGTCTGGTAGCTCGAAGTGTACGACAATCATAACCCATCTCCACGAATTTCTGGGACATTTGAGATAGACAAGTATCAACCGATGTCTCATCGCTCACGATGCGCCTTACCCTGAGGAATTGGATGTATGGAATGGAAAGGATTTGGTTAGCAGGATGAAAACTGCAGGCACTCCACAGGCTACTTGCATCCATGGGTTTGGTAAACAAATCAGTTTTAAGACAGTGGTCTGTCCTGTCTAATTGGGTCATGTACTTAATGGTGAGTGCACTCTGTTTTTGTAAGGACATTGGCATTGATAAAGGGGATAACCCAAAACATTTGTACCTTATGTCCTTATAAAGAAATCTTTTTGTAGCACATTTGCAATTGTTTGCGCTGCCCTCATTTTTTCTATTTTTGTGGATTAATATCATTTTATGCAATTTACACTGAGAAATGTATAATTTTATTTTTCTCTTTTTTTCTGTAAGCTTTATTTGCTTTCCTTCAGTTATCTGTGTGTTTTTAGTTAGTTATTTCACACACTTTGTAATATGTCAGAATTGTAATACAATTATAAGGAATATAACCATCTTATTATCTGAAAACCATGTCTGATAGAATGATAACAGATATCTAATTCTGAAAAGTGAATTCCTCTATTAAACATAATATTTTCTTTTTTCGTAGCTATTTAATAAAGCATACTTACTGTGTTGTAATCTCTGGCATCTGGGAAAGTTAGCATTTGTGGTTATATTTCGTGCAGTCTGATATGCCATTCTACAAATATTACAGATACAAATCAATTCTAATAATCTCGTCTGCTCAGGTTGTGGTTATTTGAACTTTGAAAAGAATTTGGAGAAAGTTGAAACATTTTAAGTTTTGTTGTCGTATTCATTAAATAATTCCCAATGACCTTTATCTACCAATTTATGAAATCTCTAGGTTTCAGACAAACAACACCATCACAACTCTTGTTCTACATTCTTTCTGTTTATGAGTCCAGTGCTGTGCCAAAATTGATTAGATGGTAAGGGTCACTGGGTGCCTTTAGAAGAATTGGACGAAAGTTGGAAAATTGAAGAGAGAATTTTTACTCCTTTTATATCACATAAATATCTGATGCCTGTGCACCCTCCTCCCTCAGTGCTGTAGCATTCAGTTGATCTATTTTTCCTCTAGACATAGTTTGTTCAGTGTTTAAGTGGCTGACATTTTGAACGAAGTTGGATACTGCTCTGGTTCCTGCCATCAGCCACCTGTAGACTTTGCACCCCTAGTTGCATTTTTTACAGTGTTCGTACTCGAAACTTGGGGTGTTACTCAAATGACGCAAGCGACTTGACACTATGAATGCCAACATCACTCGTCCCTTATGTGGAGTAAATTCTGCCCAATATTCTACTTTTCCAGTCATGGACTTATAGTTTGTGCTTTCTGGTTGATACAATCTCAGATATGGCCAGTGTTTCACTTTGTGGTGTCCTGGTTTCCTGTTATATACTGAGATTTAATTTTACCCCTTCAAAAGCTTCCTTTCCAATTCTTATTTTGTTAAACCCTGGAATTCTAAGAACTGGTAATACACCTTACAATCCTCTTTCTTTTTAATCCTTTCTTGTGGGGTTTTTGAGAGGGGAATTTATTCAAGGATTCTCCCTTCTCCCTATTCTGTGTGTGGATGAGTGATAACTCCAATAGATAACTCCAGATTCAATGGATTCCTTATCAGCTAGCGAGGGCATTTCTGTTTCCTCTTTTTAACATACCAGGGGATGTTCTAGTAATATAGTTCCTTGTCTCAGAAGATATTATTTTTTATAAACAAATTCTGTAGCGCAGTACAATGGGTGGACTAACAGACACGTATTTGTAACCAAATAAATTGGACGTACAGGAACAGAGGGATTGATGGCCCTGCTAAATGAGCTTACATGCTAGAGGGAGTAGGGTATAGTGACATAAAAGTTAAGGGTAGGATAGAAAAGTAGGTTGCTAGAATGGTATTCACTGAGGGCTTAGTACTTTTCTTTGATGACAGTTTGAGGGGAGGAATCAGGGTGCGGGGAGGGAAAGCTGTTCACAGATTAATTGATATGCTTTCCTAAAATGTTTTTAAAGATTGAAGATTGAAGTAGTGGAGATTGGGTGAAAGTCTAACAGAGAGGGGAAAGGTATTCCATAGGAACGTTGCAGCCCTAGAGAAGTCTTTAAGGTGAACATCAGAGGTAGGAGTATGAACAAAGGTTAGATGTAGGTCTCTGGCAGAGCGTAGGGGCCATCGACATATTAGACGTATTAGTGAGGATAAGTTAGTCGGAGTAGCATTGTGTTTAGATTTGTAAGTAAGTATCAGTATCTTAAATTGAGTCCTAAATCTCACGGGAAGTCAATGACAAAGATGGGAGGCATGGGAGGTGCAGGCAGACAGGAAGATGAGCCTCGCCTCCAAAATTTTAAAAGTTGAACTCAATGAGAATTTTTATTGGCCTTTGCTTGCCTTACCTTGGCAATCAAAAAAACTTCATTCTAGCACTTTGCCATCTCATGGCATTTTCTTTCTTTCCCCTTATTTTGCTGGTTCAATTCCAACTCAAAGGACTTGTTGTTTTTTTGTTCCGGTGGCTTGGTACATTCCCATATTTCACTCATCCCACTACTTCTTCTCCCATTTCCCTCAAATAGTGTTTCTAGGATTGCTGCTTCAGTTCTGCCCTGAAGGATTTTTTGCCTCATTTTCATTGTTTATTTTTCTTAAGGGGAGGGGAGGTCCTTGCATAGAGATCTGGCATTGCTTGTTCCTGCTGTTACATATTTCTTTCAATTGCCTTTTGTTTTTTTGGTCTTCATCCACTCAATATCATGCTCTATATTCAATCGGTACGCAAAGTTTAAGAGCTTGGCAGGCTTAAAATCTGCATTCTAGCGCTTAGACTTTTCAAGAAATTTCCTTCATTCCCTTATTTTGTCTCTGGATCTGCCTCTGAGGATGCGCTATATTCTATCGGTACGCAAAGTTTAAAATCTGAATTCTAGCACTTTGACTTTTCAAGGCATTTCCTTCCTTTGTCTCTGATTCTGCCTCTGAGGATGCTCTATATTCTATCGGTACGCAAAGGTAAAGAGCTTGGCAGGCTTAAAATCTAAATTCTAGCACTTTGACTTTTCAAGGCATTTCCTTCCTTTGTCTCTGGTTCTGCCTCTGAGGATGCTCTATATTCTATTGGTACGCAAAGGTAAAGAGCTTGGCAGGCTTAAAATCTGAGTTCTAGCGCTTTGAGTTTTCAAGGCTTTTCCTTCCTTTGTCTCTGGTTCTGCCTCTGAGGACACAAGCTATACAGCATTATTAAGGCAAAGTGGGGAGTTAGCTCAAATGGTAGAGTGCTCGCTTTGCATGTGAGAGGTAGCGTGATCGATACCTACATTCTCCAGTTGCAGGCCCTTCTTTTAAATGAATAGTGTTCAGTTTGAACTTTTTGTTTACCTGGATGTCATTGCCACAGCAGCATTTTGCAAATTTTTTAACTGCTTATCTGATTCTTCAAAAATATCCTACTTTGACATTGAGTGCACTCACAAATTTCCTTCGATAGCTCAGCTGGTAGAGCGGAGAACTGTAGTTGGTATCTGTTAGCAATCCTTAGGTTGCTGGTTCAATTTCGGCTCGAAGGACATGTGATTTTTTTCTTGTTGCTCTTAATTGATGCATTTTTCTCAAGTAGAATTCCGTAGGTTGTTTGTTCAGTTCTAATCTGAAGGATGATTTCCATCATTTTCTTTGCTTCTTTTTCTTCAGGGGAGAGGAGGTTCTGGCATAAAGACCTAGCATTGCTTGTTCTTGCTTTGACTATTTTCTTACAGTTGCCTTTTTGGTTTTTGCCTTCATCCGTCTTGTATTATGTTCTATATTCTGCCGGTACACAGAGCTGCCCTTATGCACGCATGGGGGATTAGCTCAAATGGTAGAGCGCTCGCTTAGCATGTGAGAGGTAGCGGGATTGATGCCCGCATTCTCCAATAAGTCTTTTTCTTCAAAGCGTTTGCTTGAACTAGTTGCTATAGCAATGCTGGAAAAAAATTTAACATGAACAACAAAGCTTACATCGATTGTTCAACTCCATTTTGTTTTTTGCATACTTGCATATTTGACAAAAACAACATGCACGATTCAAGAGAAATTCTTACACACAACTAGAAATTTTAAAAGTTGAACTCAATGAGAATTTTTATTGGCCTTTGCTTGCCTTACCTTGGCAATCACAAAAACTTCATTCTAGCACTTTGCCTTCTCATGGCATTTTCTTTCTTTCCCCTTAGGTCGCTGGTTCAATTCCAACTCAAAGGACTTGTTGTTTTTTTGTTCCGGTGGCTTGGTACATTCCCATAGTTCATTCATCCCACTACTTCTTCTCCCATTTCCCTCAAATAGCGTTTCTAGGATTGCTGCTTCAGTTCTGCCCTGAAGGATTTTTTGCCTCATTTTCATTGTTTATTTTTCTTAAGGGGAGGGGAGGTCCTTGCGTAGAGATCTGGCATTGCTTGTTCCTGCTGTTACATATTTCTTTCAATTGCCTTTTGTTTTTTTGGTCTTCATCCACTCAGTATCATGCTCTATATTCAATCTGTACGCAAAGTTTAAGAGCTTGGCTGGCTTAAAATCTGCATTCTAGCGCTTTGACTTTTCAAGGAATTTCCTTCATTCCCTTCCTTTGTCTCTGGTTCTGCCTCTGAGGATGCTCTATATTCTATTGGTACGCAAAGTTTAAGAGCTTGGCTGGCTTAAAATCTGAATTCTAGCACTCTGACTTTTCAAGGCATTTCCTTCCTTTGTCTCTGAGTCTGCCTCTGAGGATGCTCTATATTCTATTGGTACGCAAAGTTTAAGAGCTTGGCAGGCTTAAAATCTGAATTCTAGCACTTTGACTTTTCAAGGCATTTCCTTCCTTTGTCTCTGATTCTGCCTCTGAGGATGCTCTATATTCTATCGGTACGCAAAGTTTAAGAGCTTGGCTGGCTTAAAATCTGAATTCTAGCAGTTTGACTTTTCAAGGCATTTCCTTCCTTTGTCTCTGATTCTGCCTCTTAGGATGCTCTATATTCTATCGGTACGCAAAGGTAAAGAGCTTGGCAGGCTTAAAATCTAAATTCTAGCACTTTGACTTTTCAAGGCATTTCCTTCCTTTGTCTCTGGTTCTGCCTCTGAGGATGCTCTATATTCTATCGGTACGCAAAGGTAAAGAGCTTGGCAGGCTTAAAATCTGAATTCTAGCGCTTTGACTTTTCAAGGCTTTTCCTTCCTTTGTCTCTGGTTCTGCCTCTGAGGACACAAGCTATACGGCATTATTCAGGCAAAGTGGGGAATTAGCTCAAATGGTAGAGCGCTCGCTTTGCATGTGAGAGGTAGCGGGATCGATGCCCGCATTCTCCATTTGCAGGCCCTTCTTTTAAATGAATAGTGTTCAGTTTGAACTTTTTGTTTACCTGGATGTCATTGCCACAGCAGCATTTTGCAAATTTTTTAACTGCTTACCTGATTCTTCAAAAATATCCTACTTTGACATTGAGAGCACTCACAAATTTCCTTCGATAGCTCAGCTGGTAGAGCGGAGGACTGTAGTTGGTATCCGTTAGCAATCCTTAGGTCGCTGGTTCAATTCCGGCTCGAAGGACATGTGATTTTTTTCTTGTTGCTCTTAATTGATGCATTTTTCTCAAGTAGAATTCCGTAGGTTGTTTGTTCAGTTCTACTCTGAAGGATGATTTCCATCATTTTCTTTGCTTCTTTTTCTTCAGGGGAGAGGAGGTTCTGGCATAAAGACCTAGCATTGCTTGTTCTTGCTTTGACTATTTTCTTACAGTTGCCTTTTTGGTTTTTGCCTTCATCCGTCTTGTATTATGTTCTATATTCTGCCGGTACACAGAGCTGCCCTTATGCACGCATGGGGGATTAGCTCAAATGGTAGAGCGCTCGCTTAGCATGTGAGAGGTAGCGGGATTGATGCCCGCATTCTCCAATAAGTCTTTTTCTTCAAAGCGTTTGCTTGAACTAGTTGCTATAGCAATGCTGGAAAAAAATTTAACATGAACAACAAAGCTTACATCGATTGTTCAACTCCATTTTGTTTTTTGCATACTTGCATATTTGACAAAAACAACATGCACGATTCAAGAGAAATTCTTACACACAACTAGAAATTTTAAAAGTTGAACTCAATGAGAATTTTTATTGGCCTTTGCTTGCCTTACCTTGGCAATCACAAAAACTTCATTCTAGCACTTTGCCTTCTCATGGCATTTTCTTTCTTTCCCCTTAGGTCGCAGGTTCAATTCCAAGTCAAAGGACTTGTTGTTTTTTTGTTCCGGTGGCTTGGTACATTCCCATATTTCACTCATCCCACTACTTCTTCTCCCATTTCCCTCAAATAGCGTTTCTAGGATTGCTGCTTCAGTTCTGCCCTGAAGGATTTTTTGCCTCATTTTCATTGTTTATTTTTCTTAAGGGGAGGGGAGGTCCTTGCGTAGAGATCTGGCATTGCTTGTTCCTGCTGTTACATATTTCTTTCAATTGCCTTTTGTTTTTTTGGTCTTCATCCACTCAGTATCATGCTCTATATTCAATCTGTACGCAAAGTTTAAGAGCTTGGCTGGCTTAAAATCTGCATTCTAGCGCTTTGACTTTTCAAGGAATTTCCTTCATTCCCTTCCTTTGTCTCTGGTTCTGCCTCTGAGGATGCTCTATATTCTATTGGTACGCAAAGTTTAAGAGCTTGGCTGGCTTAAAATCTGAATTCTAGCACTTTGACTTTTCAAGGCATTTCCTTCCTTTGTCTCTGATTCTGCCTCTGAGGATGCTCTATATTCTATTGGTACGCAAAGTTTAAGAGCTTGGCTGGCTTAAAATCTGAATTCTAGCACTTTGACTTTTCAAGGCATTTCCTTCCTTTGTCTCTGATTCTGCCTCTTAGGATGCTCTATATTCTATCGGTACGCAAAGGTAAAGAGCTTGGCAGGCTTAAAATCTAAATTCTAGCACTTTGACTTTTCAAGGCATTTCCTTCCTTTGTCTCTGGTTCTGCCTCTGAGGATGCTCTATATTCTATCGGTACGCAAAGGTAAAGAGCTTGGCAGGCTTAAAATCTGAATTCTAGCGCTTTGACTTTTCAAGGCTTTTCCTTCCTTTGTCTCTGGTTCTGCCTCTGAGGACACAAGCTATACGGCATTATTCAGGCAAAGTGGGGAATTAGCTCAAATGGTAGAGCGCTCGCTTTGCATGTGAGAGGTAGCGGGATCGATGCCCGCATTCTCCAGTTGCAGGCCTTTCTTTTAAATGAATAGTGTTCAGTTTGAACTTTTTGTTTACCTGGATGTCATTGCCACAGCAGCATTTTGCAAATTTTTTAACGGCTTACCTGATTCTTCAAACATATCCTACTTTGACATTGAGATCACTCACAAATTTCCTTCGATAGCTCAGCTGGTAGAGCGGAGGACTGTAGTTGGTATCCGTTAGCAATCCTTAGGTTGCTGGTTCAATTTCGGCTCGAAGGACATGTGATTTTTTTCTTGTTGCTCTTAATTGATGCATTTTTCTCAAGTAGAATTCCGTAGGTTGTTTGTTCAGTTCTACTCTGAAGGATGATTTCCATCATTTTCTTTGCTTCTTTTTCTTCAGGGGAGAGGAGGTTCTGGCATAAAGACCTAGCATTGCTTGTTCTTGCTTTGACTATTTTCTTACAGTTGCCTTTTTGGTTTTTGCCTTCATCCGTCTTGTATTATGTTCTATATTCTGCCGGTACACAGAGCTGCCCTTATGCACGCATGGGGGATTAGCTCAAATGGTAGAGCGCTCGCTTAGCATGTGAGAGGTAGCGGGATCGATGCCCGCATTCTCCAATAAGTCTTTTTCTTCAAAGCGTTTGCTTGAACTAGTTGCTATAGCAATGCTGGAAAAAAATTTAACATGAACAACAAAGCTTACATCGATTGTTCAACTCCATTTTGTTTTTTGCATACTTGCATATTTGACAAAAACAACATGCACGATTCAAGAGAAATTCTTACACACAACTAGAAATTTTAAAAGTTGAACTCAATGAGAATTTTTATTGGCCTTTGCTTGCCTTACCTTGGCAATCACAAAAACTTCATTCTAGCACTTTGCCTTCTCATGGCATTTTCTTTCTTTCCCCTTAGGTCGCTGGTTCAATTCCAAGTCAAAGGACTTGTTGTTTTTTTGTTCCGGTGGCTTGGTACATTCCCATAGTTCATTCATCCCACTACTTCTTCTCCCATTTCCCTCAAATAGCGTTTCTAGGATTGCTGCTTCAGTTCTGCCCTGAAGGATTTTTTGCCTCATTTTCATTGTTTATTTTTCTTAAGGGGAGGGGAGGTCCTTGCGTAGAGATCTGGCATTGCTTGTTCCTGCTGTTAC